CTATAAAAATTCTGTAAAATGAAATTTAAAGGTTGCTTTTCAAATGGTCCTGTAAATACTTTGTAAAAGTTTTACTACAATACTAGTGCAAATTTCCAGTAATGAAGTATTTTTTTAAGTGCTGTTATGATTTAAATCTGTTCCCATACGTTTGACGTAGAGTACAGTGTGGTCAATTCCAGTCACAGATCTCATCATTTTCTAGAGAAAAACAAAATGGCAGCCATAGAGTTCAGTTTAAGATTTAGATTACCCAGCAGAGGATTTTTCCATCCCCTTCTACGAAGAAAAGGAAAAACATTTTTCCTTTTTTTTTCATTTTTTCCTACTTTTCCTTTTCTTCGTAAAAGGAGATGGAATAATCCTCTGCTTGAAGGGTAGATTTATCTTGAAAARTACTGTAAAAACCTCTTAAACTTCCTAAAAGCTCAAAATCTATGTCCAATTACTAGAAATTAAACGYTTTGAGAAAAACAAAATGGCGGCCATACTGAGTTCAGATTCTTAGATTTAGTTGAAAAGTTAAATATAAAATATTTAAAAAATAATATAAAAAATATTAAATTACCAAAAAGCTCGAAATTTATGTCCAATCGGTAAAAGATAAACGTCGTAGGCTGTTAATGACTTTATATGCTGTGAAGATTACGAAAAGCCKATTTGCAAGACACTTGAAATTAGTAAAACAGTGACGCGAACTGTAGTAATTGAATTTCAAGTTSGTTTTTGCGTTTAAGATAAAGTAAATATTGCTCAGTTTGAATGAAAATGTTTCGCAATTYGGCCACAATATGTAATTAAAACTGCTTGAATTTGTACTTTTTAAGTCACGTTTCGCACTCACTGTAAAAAATCATCACAAAAGCACTTTATCAATGAATTTAGGTGTAGTACAAAAAACGGTAAATGCTCTATTTTGATCAGTGTTTTTATTTATGAATGTTTCAGGCCAGGGGCACGCAATCCACGACACTCATAATTGTGAATTCCTACTCAATTTTAACTCAATTCTCACCAATTCTAATTAATACTGAAACAGACAAACAAATTACGAATCGCAAATGACTGCTGTTTATTTTGTTTATTTGTACGTAAATTATTTCGCCCACTATTTTTTCCCGGCGTCTCTGATAGCAACGATTCAAAAACCTGATTTTATACTCAGTTATACTAAAGTTATTAGCTACATGAACTACGAAGTAGATATAAAATGAGCTCATTTTATATCTACTCTACGAAGCAAAATTAAACATAAAAGAATACTCTTCATTTAGTGAAAATAACCGGGCTATGACTGCTTTGAGTCATAGCTATATACTTTTTCTCGTGCAGAACTGCTTAATTCAATCAACTGGACAATCTTGAAACAGACTAACAATAGTCTCCTTCACGGTTACCTGCGCCATCTTGAAAGGTAGCCGTGCCTTTGCATCGAAGCGAGACGACCRTTGWGCGTACAATGATAGAAACCTTAGCTTCTTTYACACCTACAGACAATTATTCACAGGYTTCTATCATTGCACGCTCAACGGTCGTCTCGYTTCGATATAAAGGGTACCTTTCAAGATGGCGCGGGAACCGTGAAGGAGACTATTATACGTCACTCAGAGAACATAGCGMTTCCTTCGTCAGTGAAAGTATTGAGTATTTTTARTAAAGCCGTGAAACGCAMTTTATACAACTCTTTATTTTATCCATTTTTCTTTGTCTTTTCGGTGAAACACATTTGATTACTCTTTGACAGTTGCCCTTTTTGACAGGTTTATGAAAGCCATTCTATAAATACTAAAAAACTGTAGAATTACTTGATTTTCTARAATTAAAGCTCTTTTTTTCACCGTGGTCGACAGAAGAACATTCTAGAAGAGAGAGCAGCTGTAATTCTAGAAAATCWAGTAATTCTACAGTTTTTAATTGAGTGCGATAATCACCTATGTTAAATACTACTGCAGAACGCGTACGTTACTAATAGAAAATCATTACATGTTAAGGGTATTTTATGGTGTTCAATTTATCCCCCAAAAGTTGATTTACACTAATGTTAATTATACTTCGCTGCCAGAGAGCGACACACAACGTCATTTAGTAACAGCATGTTATAATTACTCGCTTCCACAAAAATATAACCTTTAAGTTTGATGTGTTTCTTAAAATTCTACTTAAAACTTCCTCACGATAAAAAACATATATTCCCATAACAATTCCATAAAAGAAACAATTTTTGATGTGTTTTTAATCAGCATTGCAATAAATAATTTCAAAATGCATTTTTGTCCTGGTTKTCTTGTGCAAATTGGAACAACTTTTTGAGTATTCGGACTTTGCTCTTTCAAGATGGCGGACGGGATTTACGAGGTTGGAAATAAAGGGCTAAGTTCAAGGCTTACAATRTTTTGTACACTTAGATTACAGATGTTTCCATTTGCAACATTATAACACACGAAACGTTATAGAGCTGCAGTTATTTGATGAAATTATTACCGCAAATTTAGCAAATATTTAGGTCTTATTAACCGAGCGTTATAAATAGAAAAATTGAGACCTCGGCCGTCGGAAAGTACAAATCATCAGTTTATTCTTCGCTTTCTTAATTGAAATTTCGTCTGGATACTGAAAAACATTCGTCTCTTTAACTGATGCTTACCCCTGGAAATAGTATCAAATTAAATTTCGGCGTTTTTGTTTGCACTTTTGCTTTATTTTTACGTTTAAAGTTAAGTAATATTTGCAAAAATGCAATAAATCCCGAGGCTGAGTAATGTAGCGCGCGCTGCCTCTGCCCAAGAGAATCTAGACCGGAGAAAAATCGACCAATCAGATCACTCCATTTACTCGCTTTCAGGCTCCAATATACACGCTCATATAATAGATCAAAATACGGCAGAAGATGTAAAATATGTTTGATTGAAATGTAAATAACAATGAKATTTATTGATTTCCAGCTTTTATTTATCGAGGAAAGAGGCAAAGCTCACATGACACGTCTCAATGTATAGAAATATGCCTAACCGTTAATTTTTTTTTCACATTACTGCATTAGCATCGGATGAAATCCATTAACAAACGGTGAGATTCTCACTTTCAGAAGGTTGCCATAGCAATTGGAGAATGCACGAACGAAAGTCACTATGGGTTTTAAACTTAACACTGATCGCGAAATTCACTCATCGCAGTACAGTCAACTCTCGCTATTACGGACACCCTCGGGACCATAATTTAGTGTCCGCAGTAGCGAGAGTCCGAAGTAACGAGAGAGAGTTACTTTCAATCATTTCTTTGTATTTTTCGCCGGGGATTCAGTATTTTACTGTCCGCAATATCGAAGTGTCCGTTGTAGCGGGGTGTCCGTTGTAGCGGGGTGTACGTAAAAAGGCGAGTTTTGACTGTATTTACACTAATCTCGCAGACCTTTCGGAGTCCCTGTACATACTGAAGGCGAAAGTCGATTTCGTGGGCTAGCGATAGACACTTTGAGCGCCTACAATAAACATTACATATAATCAGCGGTTAATATCAAATGATGARTGCGYCGTAAACCGMATGGTCTTTCTTTTGCTTTCCGATCTTGCAATGGTTAGTTTGACAAGTATTTAGCATGTTAAATGCGACTTTATTTATTCGAGGAAGTATTCATCAAGGTGATAGTCGTTTTAGCGACATTTCTAGGGGAAGACAATGTGCTTTTATGAGTCTTTCAGCTTTTGTTAACTGCACATTGTGATGATATTTCGACGTGGACGACAGAAACGATCGATCGTGTTTTGGCCAAGGAGATTCCATCTTTTTAACAGCATTCGAAAAGCGCTCTATACCTGATAATTAAATAAATAAATAAAAAAACGTAAAAATGAAAAAAAAAAAAAACATTTCGAAATAAATTAAGTGTGTACATATACGTTCTAATGATGTTCCTTTTGTCATTGACATATCTTACTGTTTGTATTAAGAAATTAAAATGCACTATTTTAGTAAGAACTTCTCTCCATAAAATCAAATACATCTAAATTTCGAAAAGTGTTACTAAGTTTGCGTATCGCAGCATTTCACTTCCGATAGGAATCGCTAGTTATGGTAYTGTAAAAATAAGGTCTACGTTGATGGCTTGTTTGGTTTGTCTCTTAGTTTGACCGTTTAAATAGAGGCAACAATCAATMTCAAACATCAGCAATGATGTTCGGTTGTTAATTATAATGCTGTTCCAACACAGTAATTTGAAAAAAACCCCGGCGGTTGCGAAATCGTCGCACGGAGTTTATACAAAGTGGGAAGAACTATACAGCTATCAGACAAGAGTTATTTAAAATTACACGATGAATTTATTTTTGAAATTTACTTTGAATAGCAACAACCACCGCACCGCTAAGAAAAGAAAAGAAAAACAAGCTTAGCAAACAAACATCGACAAAGAGAATTCGATACTAAAACTGAACTCTTATTACATTCAAACTTTTAATTTCCTTAKTTTAATGATAATCTTTCGCTCTTCAAGAGTTTTTTTTATGAGCTCCGAAGATGTTTAAAATCACTACACATTTGTGACACCCCACCGGTAATTGGTAGGCCTTAACCGCCTCATCATCACCACAAATTACTGAATTATATACTTCTACTATTAAATTTATCATTTGCTTTAAATTAAGAGAATTTGAAGTGATTGCGCATATTTGACGACATTGAAAATTGGKTAATATTCGCTGTCTTTCATAATTTGTTCATTTGAARTGTACTTCACACGCACCTGGGATTCTACAACTGACTTCATTCGTGCTGGATTTAGGACTACTATTKCTTTATTACGCCTTTTCTAGATTTCCAAGGTTCGAATTAACATCAATTCTTTAAATTCATGAACTTAAATACTGCACTAATTATATATCYTCCCTCTAAATTAAAAGTGCATTGCTTCCTTCCTAATACGATTTTTTTACGAATTTCGAATTCAGTGTTCAATTGTTTTGTCTTTGACCTACGCATTTATTCTGTCTGTCGCTTTTTTCCAGTAGGTTACAGAATTCTCAGTCGGAAGGAAACACACTCGAAAAAGGCCACAAGAATAAAGGCGTTTTTAGATCATCTATGGACAACTATACAACGACGACTTAAGGTACGTGCAATGTTTTCATATTTGTCCGTCACATGAAAAAAAAATAGTCAATACTAAGTAAAAAGGTAAGCCGGAAAGGCATTATAAATATCAGTTCACATTCCCAGATGTAAATTCTAATATCATGATTTTCTGAAATTGGAAAAAATGGCTCTGAACCTTCTAGTAAGATCTTATAAATATTTCTACATGGTATTATATACCTGCGAGTCTCTCATAATATGTTTGAATCTAAATTTTCGATACTTTTTTGTCAAAAGTAGGTTTTGTTTTCTGTGTCAGCTATTCCTCCCTTTTTAAATAATTAATAAATTTTGTATGAAAATACCATTTCATTTCAATTTCCCAGATGTTTTCTTGCGAACGTTGTCGCAGGGTGACAGATTTGCATCTGATGTGTACATTAACACCCGGGTTGAGCTCCGAAATTGCAAGCAGCGAGTACAGTGAAAATTATAAGAAAATGATTACATACCTATGGGGCCAGGGTTTGTTATTTCACTGGCAAAAATGCATTAATGTGTCTTCTGATTATAAATTTGGAAGCTCATCCTWTTCAGCTCGCGTGGTCGGACATGCGAGATTTACCACAAGAAACCATTGTTATCTGAAATTTCGCGAGAAGACGGATAGAAAAATTTCTGAAAATTTCGCTTCTACATATTGTGGTTATTTAACAGACATCGTTATTCATGAAGAAAAGACAGTAAAAAACAAAGACTTTGGATATTCTGAAAATATTGTACATCATTAATTGTACAATATATTTTCAATGGACAATGTGCCGGATCTTTACGGTATATCAYAAGCATTTGGATCAGTGCTTTGCGTATTTCGGGAATATTGTTCATAAGAGTGTCTTCATTACGTACTGTACAAGATTCTTAAGGGTAAACCATTCTTTAAGATATATATTTACTCATATTGTATCGTTCTTTGTGTAATTTGCAAGCATATTGCAAAGATATTTGATATAATAATGCGTTCTTCAATCTTTSTTAACGAATGAGCTATTAATTTTACGCGGTGACTCAAAGATTGCCTTAAGGATTGCGTTCACCTTTCAAATGTAGATGTTTTTTTCGTAAAATGCGCATGCGTTAATTATGAAAATACCTTTCTCACGCAAACAACCCCGTTAGAAGTAGTTATATCTATCAAAGCGCGAAATATTCACTTGATCGGAAGTCGGTCAMAAGTCTCGTTGCTGTAGAAATATCGATCAAACTCACTTTGTTATTGAATGTTTGTCGTGTTCGAGAGGACCCACGCATGGCTTATATTCCAATCGCATTTAGGGATATCCAATGGTTCCCTATCAGTTGTGACCAGTTGTGCTTCAGTTTTACCACGGAATTTGATCTCTGCTCAAATTGCTTGCAAAATAATTAACACCTCATATTCACTGGAAAAAATCGCGCGCTTTAAAGGTTATAAATTTGATGTAAATATGATGTAAGTGTCCAAAATTCTGTAAATTTGATGTAAATGATTTCCATTAAATTTACAGAATTTTGGACACTTACATCATATTTACATCAAATTTACAACCTTTAAAGCGCGCGATTTTTTCCAGTGATTCTCAGTATTTTGTAAAAAAAAAAGTTTACTCTATAAATGCTCGTTGTTTGCAAGTTGCCAGACTAGTGGCGATTTTACATACTTGCAAATTAATATTTATGATTAAAATGATTATAATTAACAATAGTAATGATAATAATAATGTTAAAAATGATTGTAATGAAAATGGAAACTTTATAGATGCTTAAAAAACTCATACATAATTAATGAGCTACTAGGCCAATAGAATGAGCCTATTTGGTCACATGCATGGACCTTTATATCTGATACAACACTCCTTATTAGTATTCTTTATATAAAGAATACTAATAAGGGTGACCTTTATCAGATATAAAGGTCCATGACCCTAGCAAAGGTCTCAGGTTTGAAACCTGATCATTGACCAATGCAGGATGTCAACCGATTTCAGTGAACAGCCAAGAGCGCTTCTATTTTACTTTATGCGTATTCAATGTGGGATGACAAGAGTGCTTTGTAAAGTGATTCGCGCATGATCAGTTTGCCCCATTTATCTCTGAACATATTTGAACGGCAATTTCTCCAAGAATTTTAACGGATTTGAGTTTCAAATTAGCGTTGGAGTTTTTTAAGCCGTTAACTCGAGATCGTGTTTTATCAGGTATAAAGATTCTCGCCTTCGGGTCGAATCTTTATACCTGATAAAACACTCTCTCTCGTGTTTTAAACTATACATACAGTTGTAAACCTCACTACTTATAGGCATTAACAACTGGCTACTAATAATAATGATCATAATGATCATATTTATAAAGAACGGACACTCGCTATTGAGGACATTCAACTTTGAAGTTGTCTGTTATAACGAGGAATTGACAGTAGACATAAKTAACAACTACTATCTCTTTTCTAGGCCTAAGAAAAAATGACGATCGAATTGTTTGCACTACACCACTACAAGACGATAACAGCTGTGTATATCGTTCTCTTTATTCTTGGATTCCTCGTCAATTCCTTTGTCATCGCCGTCTTTATTGGAACGCGCTCTTTGCGCCAACAGTCTGGCAACTATATCCTTTTAAGCTTGACGATTTCTGATTGGATGATGGCAACCCTTGGGTCTTCCTTGGGCATTTACGCAAACGCCAAATACTGGTGGACACTCGATCCTGCGTACTGCCAGTATTTTGGTTTTATCTCGTCTTTGGGTGGATATACATGTATGATTCATATAACAGCTTTAGCGGGCGAAAAATTGTTTACTCTCAAGCTCTCTACCACGCAGGAAATAACCAAAGCTAAGATGCTGATCCTTGTGATTTGTCTTTGGTTGTTTTCCTTTGTGTGGGCTCTGTTTCCGTTGATAGGCTGGTCTTATTACGCTCCAGAACCTGGGTACGCTGGATGTTCAATCGCATGGTACTCAGACAAGCCGGCCGACAAAGCTTTCATTGTGTGCTTGTTTATAGTGTTCTTTTTCTTTCCAATTTCCTTCGCTACATTCTGCTTCGCAATAATTTATTTCGAGGTCAGGAAGCTTGCACGAAATGCCGTGCAGCGATGGGGAACCACGTCCGGGCCGACACAGCAAACGCTTCGCGCGAAAGCCAAGACGATTCGCATGTCACTAATTATGGTATTGGCTTTCATGTTTGCCTGGACGCCATACGCTGTGGTGGCTCTCTATTCGAGCTTCGTGGCCAACGATCTTTCGCCTACAGCRGCAACCATTCCGGCAATGTTTGCGAAGTCATCAACTTTCTACAACCCGATTATTTACTTCTTCATGTACACAAAATTCAGAAATGCAGCCAAGAAAATGGTAATAAGAAGGAATGTTGTTGCTCCTGGTTCGGGATCTGGRTCAACTGCAGCCTCACAAAATGGATCGTTCATGACTTCATTCCCTAGACCAGCTCAGTTCCTGGAGAGACTCAGCGCGATTAACAAGTCAACAAACTCTGGAGATGATGCATCKGAACAAAAAACTTCTAAAACCGATACGAAAGAAATGAAAGTGCTTGAATTTCCGACCCCTGGCAACGTGTAAATAGGTTTTGGGTTGAACTAYCTTCACAAATTGTAAATTATAAAATGCATGCGTCGTATTCRTATTTCGCTACACATATCGATTCATCGTTRCATGACTAGCAGTTCATGTGATKGACRYAACGGTCTGTTGTCAGACCAAGGAAATAACCCGTGGTCTACTGCAGTCASTCAGCATTTACTAGTAGTTCATGCACCGAACTATCTTTCTCATCTGAAATCCAACGGATTGGCACAACGGTCTGYTGTCAGACCAAGGAGGTAGACTACCTATGGTCTACTGACAGTCAGCAGTGACTTTCCWRGAGACAAGAMAGTTCATGYCCCGAACTATCTATCTCKTCTGAAATCCAACGGATTRACCCAACGGTCTTTTGTCAGACCAAGGAGATAGACTACCCATGGTCTACCAGCATTGACTTTCTTGACTTTCCCAGAGACTCTGTAATCCTTACTCGGTGGATTCCAAGTAAAAAGGCGGAATGGTCTGGCTAAAAAAAACTTAATAATTCAATTAATAATCGTRTGAGGAAGTTGCTGATCCCATTAAAGAGTGCTCAATACACATAAAGTGTAGAGCTACTTATATATATGATATCAAAGAGGCAAGATTTTGCTGTAACTCCGAGTTTCGTGCTACGCACTCATCAGACAGTATTTAATGAGTGCGTAGCACGAAACTCGGAGTTGCAGCAAAATCTTGTCTCTTTGATATCATATATATAATTCAATTAATATAATTAATATGTTTAATTTGATAGTGGGGGTTGGAGGTGGGTGGTATTTGAGGTGGGATAAGAAGGTTTGAAGGAGAGGGGTCTTGTAAGGATTTGTTTTTATCATATCGAAAAAGAGGAGGGGGGAGGGGGGGGGATAGGGTAATTTTTGCAATATAAACAATGAAGTTATAGGTTTTAACCTTAAAAGGTCAGTTATTGAAATTGTCACAGATGTGACGACTTGTAGAAATATACTGACATTGATAATAGATATTGGTAATAATAGATATAGATTATGAAGAGATATTCATTTAAGGGGTATGTAGGATACATTAAATATTTGAGTAACTCAGCATGTGTAAAATAGTTGTAAATAGGAAAGAGTGGACAGAGTAATATATAAATCAAATATCGTCTATCACAAATCCAAAGGGTTGGCATATYTATTTTGAATAATGACGATGAAAAGTTGGTCGCGATTTAAGAGGAAACAGCTATACTCCAATCTATATTCGCGGTTAAAAGTGGATAGAGACCACGAGGTTGAGCACAAAGGTGTCTCAGTAGAGAAGGAAGAGGACTGAAGAAGGAAATAAGAACTTAAAGAAAATAAGAAAGGGGCCTTTGAAGGAAAGGAAGGAAATGGGGCTCCGAAAGCGAAGGGAAGAAAAAAGCCGAAAATGGGACGAGGATCGAAAGGGAATGGAAAGGAAAAGTGGAAGGGGTCTGACAAAAGGTGGAACAATGGGCCGAAGATAAGATTAGAAAGGGGCCTGAGAGGATTAAAGAAAGGGGCCTTAAGATGAGGAAGGGACAGAAAGGGGAGGGAGTATCGTCAGTTACAACGTCAAACAAACAAACAAAAAAGACTTTCTCCGTGGGACTTAAATAAACTAAAAGCACTATAGAATATATTTGCTTGTCCCTTATGTTAAGTCTAGATTGTGCTTACGGTTATCGAGCTTACGCATGCGTTTTCCTTTGCTCTCTACTTATGTTTACGTAGAAGCGAAAACAAAATTTTTAGATTTTTCTATATTTAAACGTTTTGAATCTGGGCTTTATCAATTGATGCATACAAAATAGAGCTGCCACAGGTTTTTTTATAGCAAAAAAGAAAAAGAGATAGGAAAAGGAAGATGGAAACCAGTCATGTAAATATAAATTTTGTGTATGTAGATGTTTTAATTAAAAGCATGAAACTATGATATTTCTGTGTGGAGTTATTTTTTATTTTATATGGGTCGATCAGATGGTCGAAAAAATAATGATAGGATCGATGGATTGACGGATTGACGGATACTGGCTTGATTTCAGTCATTTGTGTGCTATCTTTTCTTCTAGAATCTATTCTGATAAATATATTGCTGTGTGATCCAGGCTCGAGCAGACGAAACAACGGATGAATAAATGTATAAAAGTTTCAGGTGGAACATTTTTGCTCCGTCACACGGAATCCGGAACGTTCCAGGGTTCGGATTCCAAGCCTCTGTATTCCGGATTACATGAAAGACTTGGCAAGGATTCTGGACTTCACAATATCAGTGTTAGAATGCAAAATATCATAGGTTTTTGCCTTTTTTCCGTATGTGTGATTTATAATTAGGGAAAAGAAATTTGATCAGRAATAAGTTCAATAAGTTCGGTTTTGGCTGAATTTAATATGATGAACCACTACGTGGTTTCGTGGTATCAATGATTTATGGAAAATCACTGCAAGCCCCCTCGAATCACTGGAAAAGTTGATCAATTTTCAGGGGTGAAGTCTGTATTTTCAAATGAACAAAAAGTCCTTTTACAAAGTTTGTAAATTGATTTTACAAGATATTTACAGTGTTTGATGGATCGAAATTTACAAGATATTTACAGAATGTTTATAAAATTTACAAATTTTGTAAAAGGACTTTTTTCTATAAATTGAATTTACAGTGTGCTTTACAATATATTTACATATTATTTACAAACTCTGTTAAATAATTCCACTTTTCCAGTGCAGACAAGATTTTAGTCGACTTWAGATATACAACAGTTCAAGCTGCTATGAGGTGCCACAAGAATTTATCTCCCACGCTATAGGATTTCGCCTTTGGTGATTTGAGCAAAGATGTAATGGGCCAAATGAATCTTAATATCAAAACTGTTAATTCAATGAACACTAATGTTTTTCTTTGATAGGTTTTCATTCCACTTTTGATGGCTCTCATTGACTTGTTTTATATAGCTTCTGCATATGTTAAAGATAAACAAAGATATGTTTTGCTCGATAAGGTGAAATAACATCTGCTGAGGTATGCAAAGGCTACAGTGGCCACTTCAAGGAGGTTCTTGATGATTGTTGAAGTCAAGCCAAAAATTATTTCTAACTCCTGTCGATCTTCTTTGAATAAACTGTCTGCATTCCTGTCTTTTTTTAATATAATCCTTTGTATTTTATCTGCTTTCTCAATCTGCCCGCAACGCCCTCGAGAAAGATGATATCCAAGAAACCATACCCACTTTTCGCTGAAACCGTTTCATCGAGCACATACTTGAGGACCAAGACCTGGTTATTGCAACTGAAGTGAATTTTGGTAAGTGAACTGCCTCTCCTAAAATCACCAATCATAACTTGCTTTCCACTGAAAACGTTGCTTATGAAAATGTCAGTTTGAAATCGTAGTTCTCATTTGGGGCGGCAATTCCTTAGTGTATCGAGAAGAAATGTTTTTGTGCCTTTCTAATTCGAAAGTTGCAATACTACTAAAYACATGTTATGTTTCAATATAGCACTACCAAAGAAAAATATATATCACAAAATTAATTGTCGAATTTTATATCAGTGAAGAGCCGATTATTTTTCAGGTGAAATTGMCAGAAATTTCGACTCAGTCATCAAATTTGGGTCAATCTAGGAACATTCTAAATAATATTGAATATATGTTTGCTATATTATTTATCGAGTTTCTTATTAAAAGCACCTTCAATATTGCGTGAATAGCTTTGGCCAATTGATTTGCTAAAAGTTGAAAGGAATGACGACGGATTTGAGAGGCAAGATCGAACGAAGATGCAGAAAAAATAATTTACAATAGCCCTCAATCAGTCGCAAGGAACATACAATTAGTGTAAATCCGTACGGGAACTCTTCAAAATAGTTTTTGTAAACATATTTTGCATGAAAATTGCATGGTAATAACATAATAGAAACATAAGACATAGCAGGAGAGAATATATTTCTCAAACTCCACTAAGAAATTCATATTTTTTCATAAAGAAAATCCTCCTACGCCTCGTTGGAAATCAGCTTGCTTTATATTGAAGTTGCTGAATGACAATATGATAAATATTTCATTGATTTTTCTGTCACGTATTATAGTCGCTGTCATCTTGTGTTATCGCTTCTGGATAATTCTGGTTCTTCTTCTTAATTAAAGTCAACAGCAAATATAAACAAATCGCTTATTTTGGAGCGTTAAAGCTTGCAATTATGAAGCTATTTTTTTTACTTAACTTGTACTCGAGAAAATATTGTTGTGGCGTGTTTGTGTGTGTGCTCTTACTGGCTTGCATGTTCTTGCAGCCGTGTCGTAATCCTTTTCTCATGCCCCTCGGACTTATCATTACTAATTTGCCTTGAGGCCGCCTTGCTGTTGCTAGTGGCGTTCCTCTTGCGTCCTTGCCTTTGGCATTGCTCTTGCGCTTGTGGGCCTACCCTAGCCATTGCGACATAGCCGTTGTCATTGCCTTTGCCCTTGCGGCCTTACACTTGCCCTCGCGGTTTGGTCATTGTCATTGCCTTTTCCCTTGCACTTGAAATCACCACTGGCAATAATTACCAATGAAATTGCAATTACCATGACCTTTGCCATTGAAATGGGCATTGAGATTGCTCTTGCCATTTGCAAGTACGTTTGCCTTTGTTATTGGTGTTAGGTTGCCTATGCCATGGCCACGGTCATTTAGTCCCATCATTACCGATACAATTTTCATTGTCATTTCTATGGTTATACACTGGAAAAAATTGCGCTCCTCGAAGGTTGTAAATTAAATGGAAAAAGTATGTAAATTTGATTTCCATTATATTTACAAAGTAAATATCGTGTAAATGTCCAAAATGATGTAAATATTATACTTACATCAAATTTACACGCTTTTTACATCGTTTTTTCATCATATTTACAGCGTGATTTTTTCCAGTGATACTGCCAACATTTCATTGATTTATATTTGTACTACATGATCTATTAAACTATTTTAGAATCGACATGAAACTGCTGACCACAAGTATTTTATTATCGCTGGCTCTTCTCATTATCTTCGAGTATACTTCACTGGTTAATGCAGATGMAAAAGACGACGCTTTACTTCAAATAGAAGAAGACATATATAATCTTGTTAGAGAGGACACTAAGAAGGTATTCCATTGGGGAAAAAAATAAACACATTTCATTCTACGTAAAATGTCTCGAAAAATCTAGTAATCAAAATAAACCCATGAGAATCGTAACTGAGAAAATTTAAAGTTTATCTTTAGGAACTGCGCAATATTATTATTATTTTATAAAACATAAAATATTATTTTATTATTGTCACATGAAGATCTTTGCAATATCCATCTCTATAACATATTGTTTACTCGTGACTTGAACAACTTTTCAGGGTAAAAGAARTATACATAGTAGTATACCCCTGACAAAATGGCCACCGTACTTTTAATAACAGTTCATTGCTCTTTAATTTCATATCATTTGGTATTYAAGGACAATGAMAAGCAAGCAAAAAAAGAAGTGATCAAGAAGGAAGTGCGACGTCCCTGTGGTTTTGCTGCCTGCGTACGAAGCAGTAGCCGCAGAAGAAGACGAAGTAGTTTCTGGGGGAAAAAGGTAGATGATTTAAAAGTGTGCTATATTCCAGTAGAATCTCAACAAAACTGCCATTTCTTTATCCTCGGTAACCTTTCTATACAGTCAACTCTCGCTATTACGGACACTCTCGGGACCGTAATTTAGTGTCCGCAGTAGCGAAAGTCCGTATTAACGGGAGTTACTTTCAGTCATATCTTATTTTTTTGACGAGGATTCAGTATTTTACTGTCCGTAATATCGAGGAGTCCGTAATATCGAGGTGTCCGTAATAGCGAGGTGTCCGTAATATCGAGGTGTCCGTAATATCGAGGTGTCCGTAATAACGAGGTGTCCGTAATAGCGAGGTGTCCGTAAGGCGAGAGTTGACTGTTCTTGTTGATTAAGGGGTCGCCGACGTATTTACGTCGCTTGCCAATTTGACATTACCAGCAAACAACTCTCTCCAAAAAAACTAGCGAACACCCCCTCTTCGAATATCACGATAAAGTAAAGTTACTTATAATTTCAGAGTGTAATCTCTACGAGAAGCGAAAGCCAAAAGACAAGATCCTCCCATGTTGACGATAAGGAGTATGATGCTCTTCTTCAAGGGATTGGAAAGCTTGTCGAAAAGCTAGAAGACAATAGAAAGCGTCCTTGATCGGAAAAGTTGCTCCTTGCTCATTAAACAGAAGGAATATTCTAAATAGCAATCTTTTTATTTGCAATAAAGAGAAAYACAGGTTTTGACGTTGTACAGTGCATTCGTAGATTATAGCAAGTAGCATTTGTCAATGGTGAAGAGATGGAATCCCGAACTGAATAGAGTACCGAAGTGTAACGTCACAAAAATATTTTTTTCGGATTCAGTTTGGATCATTGAAACACCCTTATAGGGCATTATAAAAGTAAAGATAACGCATTAAAATGGATGGAGAAAAAGAAGCGTGCACTGGCCGGGAATCGAACCCGGGCCTCCCGCGTGGCRGGCGAGAATTCTACCACTGAACCACCAGTGCATTACATTGTAAAAATAGTTGTCTACCAAATTGTAGTTTCCTAATTCCATTTATTGTGCTATTATTACAAAAACTTGTAAATTTGCTTGGTTCCTTTCGTTATAAACCAGACTAAATCACAAGCGTTWGTATGCAAACACCAAACATTAAAATCGCTTTATATTTCTCCGCTATAAATGGAACTTGGATACTCAAATTTAGCAAAAATGCATAGTTGAAAATGTTGTAATTTCAGAATAAGGAGGCCAATTATAAAAAAGGTAAAAAAAAAAAAAATCGTTTTGTGACGTCATCACTCCGGTACTCTGAGTAAGACAATTATTTTCTTTTGAGATAATACCCCCATCAGTTTACCTTCAAGTGTGTTAAGATTGCCGCAGCTTTAATTTTGAACTGTTCGAGTGCAAAAGAAATCAGACGAGAACAAGAGCACAATGTTGATCAAAAATATGTTTATTTTGTTCATTTGACGATGTTGTATTTTTGATTTTGGTATGTTGTTTGGTGCTATTCCATACTGTTAGAATACTCCGGCGGTATAGGAACAGAATCGCCTTTCTACGAAAACAGAAAGGAATAACGTTAATATCAACTATGTAAGCAGGGCAGAGCAGGGCAGAGCAGGGCAGAGCAGGGCATTACCCTTGATCTCATTCGTCTTCTTCTTCCGCATCTCAAGGTCAAYCCACATGGGAGTCGTAGTCGCTGTTGTCTTTTGAGAAGTTGATCCTCTTCATCGTTATTAAGAAAATCCTTCAAAAAYCCATCGCTACTTCGAGCATGCGTAGTAGAGAAAGTGCATAAAATCAGAAGAGACAGTACAGCGAAAACAGCTACGGCTTGATTTGTATTCATCTTGGTTCACTTTAATTTTGCATTCGCATCAGGCCTGTAAGGAAAAAAAAAATGATATTAAGGCTTGGGCTCCCTGTGGTTTTGGGCTTCCTTTGCTTGTGCTAGAGGCCGGCAATCTCGTCCCCAGGTCCATGGGTGGTTGTCGGGGAGATGACCGGCATCTTGATAAAGAGTCAGCCGAGATGACCCTGGGAATGAGGTTGAGAGGCCGGGTCTCTTGAATTTGAACATGGCCGACATGCTGATTTTCCCCTCTTCTCTACAATATCTGGAAGTTTAGATATTTCAAAGCGAAGGTTGAATAATACGAATGTAATTTTCTCCRCAGCAATGGTTTGATTTGGTAATGGTATATATCATGTGTGGTCCTATTCACGACTTTCCAGCTCAGGTCCAGTGCGGGTGACTACGAACAAGGCATTGAACCGATGCGTTAAGGTAAAGTGAGCATAAAAGAAAAGATCTGTGACAGTTCCTTGACGCACCGCTTCAATGCTTTGTGCGTGGTCACTGGGTCTGGGTATGGAAAGTTGTGAATAGAAATACCATTTTACTCCTTGAAACTTAATATTTTTATTCAGCTTAAACATGTGAAACGCACCTAACATTTTAGACCATTTTACAAGAGCGTTAAGTGAATATATTTACAGTTCACATGGTGTACAATTAGAACATAAAAATGTCTTATTGGACGGCAACCTTTTCAAGATCAACTGTATATTAATAAAAACGCTCAAAACGCTTCGATTAATCCAAAGTAATTTAGACCAACAATGGCTTTGGCGGAACCAGCACTGAATGAAGTCTTGGATTCCTTCATTCTTTGTTTTCTGCTTATTCCTACGTCCCCGCTTATGTTTATAACATGATGATGTTAATGTCTTGTGTCACTTGCTTAATTTCTTTGTGTTTTTCTTTTTTACCAATGATTATGATTCTGTAGTGTTTTGAATCGGTCGGGTACATATACATAGAATCTCATGACATTATCAAATGTTATCCCTGACTCTCGATCTTTCACGAATACCGAATTTACGTCATGGACTATAAACTTACACTTTTGTGTTTCTCCAAGATTATTATATTTGTTTGCACATTGAAACGAGCTTGATATAAGTGCTATTTTAGACGAAATCCATTTTAAAKCTATAAATATTTTACATAGAAAGAGAACTACCGCGCGAAAAGGTTTATCATTTCTTTAACTAGTTTGTATATTTTTTTATAAATATTTTCCTGGTAATTGTTTTTTATGCTTTTCTTATAGCATTCACTAGAAATATAAGGACTTACTTTTATGGCTTTATAACTTSGTTGAGATCCTCRAACTCTTTCGGCACTGTGGAACTGTTGTTTTCGTGTTCTGCGACAATGCAATTAARCCCTGATAACGTCTGACTCAACGCTTTTAAATGCTTTGAACTATCGCTAATAACTTGAACGTCATTTAGTTTTATCTACTGACAGGTTTTGAACGAATTGAGATGCGCGAAACTGGGTGTGTAGGACACCTGGCATTGTCCCGCGTTCATTGAAACATCCTACGCTAAGAAAGCAATGAAAGGAACCTTCCTTTTAGAGTGCTAACGACTTAGTCGAAATGAGGTGATTTTCGTTTTATATTCTTCAAGCATTTAAAGGGCAAATTATAAGAGCGAATTATAACATCATTTTTGTCTTTTCGAGTCCGCAACCTTTTGCAGTTGGTGAGATTTTGTGTTTTTGTAACATCTTTCCCCGCGCGCGCTTTAATTTTTTGGAGTTTTTTGTTTTATTTTGGATGTTAGATTGTATGTACATACACTTTTTATAAGCCTCATATATCGTAGGGTATATCTTTTTTAAATAAACGTTTCAGTTGAATCAAAAATTCAAAAGAAAAGGGGTAATTTTGATATCAAACCATTACATTTTATTCAATATATGTTTYCCAAGCTCCACAATGTCTTTTGAATTTTTGGGATGTCATCTCACGCACTTAGAACAATTTGCTTCTTCACTTTGTGCAATTAGTAGTATTTTTACTTGATAATGGCACTAACTACTTTTCCATACTTCTGAATACCCATTGGCAATTCAGACCTTATAAGTGTTGAAGGGGTTTTTCTATTTCTTTTTCGTAAAAAAGCAGCCTGTAAATTAGCTTCTTAGTACACGGAATAATAAAATGTTGCTTTCTGTTTAAGTTTGTGCACTATTTCAGACTAATTTTTTCTCTTATAATAGAATTTAGTAAAATTATAATAAAAAATTACCGTTCTTCTTGATAAAATGTGTGTTTTATACTGGATACTCAAGGAAAAGCATATACACGAATCATTATCATAAGCATTGCAGGGTACTTTCAACTGTGCGCGTCCAAAGTGCCATCAGTATGTTTTTTCTTAATGGATCTAAATAAAGCAAAAGCTGTCCAAGAAGATAGCGAATTCACTCAATAGATAACTTAGCAATTAAAGACTGTATTTGAAAATAAAAGACGGGCTCAAATCTTGATAAACGATATATTCCATCATTGGATCAGTACATGGATCGTGTATAACGATTGCGCCACCAATTATTGCGCGTTTAAGCCGATTTAAGTAAAAACTAGAAATGTAAACTCTTTAATGTAACAAATTGCCCTTTTGTCACTTCATGTCAGTTTCAATTCATATAATTCGTTTTGAGAAATTGGTTAAAATATTCGAGGGCGATGAAAGGCTTGTATTAAAACTTTGTTCTTCAAATATGTCCATTATTTCTATTACTCTGTTGACTAGATTACAACGTGGATMGCGAATGCAAAAGAAAGAGTAACAATTTGAGCAAATATTGAAATTCAGCAGCCGTAAATTGGGAGAACAAAAATAAGAAAATGCCCTTCYTTACGGTTTTTGGTGTAGCTTGTTGGCGCGTGTGTTAATTCACGCTTTAATCTTCATGAAGTTATCATGCCATTCTACCGCACCTCTTCATCAGCCTTAAATTCGACTCATTCATAGATCGTAATTTGCTTCCGAGTCGTCTATCAATCCATCTATTCTTTCAAATGCTTTTTTTCATTTCACATTACTAAAGTTTCTGATATTCTTTTTTCTTCGCGTATTTGACTTTTTCTCTCTATAATGTATTTGTAACATAATGCATAAAGACTCGCAAAAAAGGAATAAAAAAAAACATTTGATATCTACGTGACGTTTCATATCATTAAATTTTCCTATTTTCTATTTTCTCCATGCCTTTGACTCTTTCTTTCTCTCTATTTTGAAGCCATATCAGTACCCTAATGTATCAAGATTAAAAAAAAGACATCAAAAACAGTTCTAAAAATAGCAATTCTTGCGACAAACCTTTGATATTCAGCGACCCGCAACGCAAACTGACAAAGAAGATTTTTATCCAGTTCAATCTGAATACAAAGCCATCATTCTTTTGTGTTGATATCATTTAAAAGTATAGTATCTAAAATGGCAGTTTTGTAATGGTAGTTTCCTATCGATTATGTTATGTACAATGGACAAAGAAAGCCGGCTTTCTACATTCAAGAATTAGCGCGTCCATACCTTTATAATGACAACTCAAACTGTGATTGTGTGGGAATCTGCCGCGCGTGCTACCTCCCAAAGTATCAAACAGCGACCTTATTTGAAATCATGTTCATTCAAAAACAAATTAAAATACTTTGCCAAGGATGCTTGATGTGAACTATGAGCTTGAGAGGWGCTATGGAAAAGTGTTCTCCGAATACTCATTGAAGTTAATGTATACTCATTGTAATTTAACTGTGTCTCATTGCGTAGAAAGTCCCTACTAGAAAAACTTTACAACTGCCTCCTTTTTGAAGGCTGCTTCAATAGAGTTCAGGACCATATCCTTGCAAATTAGTTGATGTCAACTGAGGTATAAAGTTGACGGTATATATTTTACGTCGAGGAATCGTAAATGTCTTTGTCCAAGTCAGTCTAACTTTATTTATTTCTATTTTTATAACTTTAAAAATTGATGATACTCGCACAGTTTTTCGAAATTATAAGCGTCCCAATCTGTACTACTGTACGTAGAATAACTACAGGCTTGCCTCGCTCAGTTTTAGTCTGAGTTCTAATATTTTATACATCTTAATTCATTTATTCCTAGGTTTTGAAGTTTTCCAGTAGCTTGTAATTGTTGTGCTCTGTTTTTTATATTATTTTATTTTTTGTTTGTTTTGTTTTCGTATCGGCGCCCCTTATTGGGTTGCTAAGGTTCATGCGCAAATAAAGTCAATAAATTTGGCTATTTTAGTCATTTAGACATGAATTTATCTTTTAATTTTTCGTTTAAAGGCTGGCCAAGTTTCACCGGCAGCCCTTTCAAGCTTTTATTCGGTTTATGTCTGAAAAGAAAATACATCGTAATATAAGCAAAAACCTACTCTTTATTATCCCTTTATACTATATGAATGAAGATATTGTAAGACTAGAGCTTAAAACGAACAAATAGAAGCGATTTGCGAACAGATATTTGAGAAGTCAACTCATTTTCCATTATATGAAAAATCAGAAACACGAACGCATTGCATGCTGGTAGACCATGAGCCTTTAAATGTTATCATCATAATTTCCGATAGAAAAAAAATAAAACACAAACAAACAAACAAACAAAAATGAATTACTGGAATGAGAATTGTCAGTATTTGTTTTCAGTTGAATCAAARAGGCGCCGGGYTTATTAAARATTTACATTTACCTTTTTAATTTACAGTCTCTGGAGATTGTTTAAAAAGGCGTCAAAAGACATTTAAAATGTTATTAAGACGTTTTTATATTTTGAAAGTCAGAACCAAAAGAACGTGCGTACTGTAATAAGTATTTTAGATAAGCCGACGTTTATCGGGCCATATCGAGGAAGTGTAAACGTTGTTAAGTGAACTAGGAGATAAAAGTAATTTCATTGCGACAAAGCACGATATCAAGTTAAAATGGTCATAAAAAGCAAATACAAAATCGGTAATAATACCAAGATAGTCTTAAGAATCCAAATGGTTCATAAACTGAGCTATCTATGAAACCGTTGGTAGAAGTATTTTAGCGAATGCTTTGCTTCGCTACCCGAAATGTTTTGACGTTCTTGATGAGTTTTCTGCGACTTGGGTTGAAGTTCCAATCAATAAATCAACATCAAATTTAAATACAAAATATACCATCAAAAAGAGATTTGCACTATAGATATATCTCAGTGGATCAGCTAAAGTCGTTTTAAAGCTTTCTAATGCTTTATAATACCGAAAAAAAGCAATGAGTGAGGCCCGGGGGAGGGGGGGGGGACTTCCCTATAAAGCATGGTAGGTATGCTCGACGGACTGATTAAAAAATGACCCTAAAAGGTACGCATAAATTAATTGAGGTATCGATTCCAGACCCTAAAAGGTACGAGCATTTTTGACGTCTTTAAGAAGAGAAAAGCTTAAGTTTAACAAACTGTAGAAAATCAATGTCGATAGATTGGAGGTTAATTAGAATCTATTTCTTTATTAAAACATCTTCAATTTTTTCCCCGTTGTTCAAAAAATGACCCAAAAAGGTACGGAGTCAAGTCACGACCCTAAAAGGTACGCGAGGGTTTTATTTTCGACCCTAAAAGGTCCGTCGAGCATACCTCCCCCCGGGGGAATGAGGCAAATGAATTTCACATTGACGATACTGGGGTTGCGCAGTAATACTTACACACGAATGCTATTACTGACAAACAATCTCGCATATATATGTGTGACGATGGAAATTATATGCGTTTTCTCTTTGGCTTCTTTGGAAAGTCATGCCACCCTCAGTTCCATTTTTCTGCCTTTCGGAATCCCTTCTGCCTTTCAGTGAAACGTGTCTCTTTGTGCTAGCAGCATTCTTGTGTCCTCTACTGTTGATCTCTTTCACTGTGTTAGCCTCAATAAAACCATGTAATATATTCTTTTATTCGGTAAATGACACCTCGTGYAAATGCAAGAGATCTGTGAGTATAGAAGACAATGGAAATAGTTTGAAATCTCACGAGTTTTATCTAAATTTCTGCATATTTTGCACACAATTGAGCCTATACACAGAAATTGTCAAGGCGGCACCAATTTTCACTCCAAGCTCTTTCAGTATCGTCCTCGGCTTTATTCTGATTCGTCTCTTTCTTTCTCCCTCCTTTCCCGCCATTTCCTGTCTATCTCTTTCTATTTTCGACTGTTCCCTCCATTCTGTCTCTTTTTTTCTTTTTTTTCATCTTTTCAAAATTTCATTTCATAGCTTATATTGTGTCTATATTAAACGCTCCCCCAGCTAAAGTTGACTGAACCACAGCAAAAAATAGTATAAATATCCCTTGGAAAGGACCTGCTATGTTTTGATTTTATTCCATGTTGTATAAATACACTTATAAACGTGATCTTAT